TGAACTGTTTGTCAAATACAGAATACATAAATTTTAGACTAATTTTCTTTTTAAAATGTGGATGAAATGTTTTGCTTTTAATGTATTTTTTATGTATTGTTTTTGATTTGATAACTTTTGACTAAACAGATTTTCTATTAGCTTCAGATCTTGATCAAAGTTTGGCACCCAGTTCATAGCAGTGCTTATATTGATTTTCTGACATCTTGTTTTCTGTAAAGATTTTATTGGTAGGTTTGCAAATGTGTATCAGACTGTGCAATCTTTCCATGAGTTGGTTTTGAAACCCAGTATGGGATTCTGAGATACTTTACCAAGGATATTATTACAAGATAAATCATTTGCTTCATTGAACACATACAACAATGCATATTTCCACTGAGATCAGTGACCTTTGATGTGTATCACCAGTGATCAGTCAAGTAGAAACAGTCAAAATATTTTATCAGATTTTCTCAATTTTTGCATGATATTTTCATACAGGACATCTGTTGTTCAAACTCAGGGAAGACTTTATACTGATGAACAAGGTGACCAAGTTTGATAAAGTTTGGAATAGAATTAGTAAAGTTATTATGCACACAATAACAATTATTAACAACGACAACAACAACAACAACGACGACGACGACGACGACAACGCCGGACAAAATTTTTCCCTTAATATACCTTTCCCTTCCATCTTTGATGGTACGGGCAAGGTAAAAAGTCTTGTGACTTGCTCGTTTTACAACAAGATTTCGACAGATATTATAATGAAATAACAAAATGTTGTAGATGAATTATTGACACTCTTCTAGCCATTCCACGTGTACAGCCTATATGAGAAAACTGCTAGGACACACATGCAAAGGTGACAGCCCTAATAGTCTCATAACAGCTCAACATCTAGTTAATGGCCGGTGTACCTCAACATTAACAAATTGGATAGTGTCTTGTTACGTCATGCCATATGTGCATGTGAATTAATCACACCTAATAGTGTTACAAAAATTAAAATATCGAACATGTACATTCGAAATACACATAACAAAATGTGAAATAGACTCAAAATAATTACAGGCAAACACAGCATACCCACTTACTGCTGTTGGCGGGTAACTACTGAACCATAACTCACTGACCGCAATTTCTTGTGTTCGATATTATAATACCCAACACTTACCACACTCGTACGTAGAGCAGCATACGCCGGCGTGTCTCGTGAAATTCAGATTCTTATAATCAGCGCAGATTGGTGGCGCTGGACATTCCATTCTTATACATTGAATCAACCCACCATCTGTGCATTTACAGGTTTCGCAATCACTTGGCGACCATGTCTCATTTATCTTGAAATGGAAATTAAAATATTCAATTCACACACCCTTAACGACATGACACATCTATGGCGTAAATAGGTAAACTGAATGCCTTTCACAATTTTGATATTTTTTGGTTTGTGGTCGTCTATCAATGAAAAAAAATTTATTTGTATTCTAATAGTGTAAGAAAAATGACATCCCTAACATTCCCATCATTCGTACATTCATTTTCATCCCACTTATATAAAGCAGTTCAACCCCCTATAGGGCACATTTACAGGACTTTGGTTTCGCCATCACACAATGAAGGTACCTCCCATACAAAGACATTTTAATCATTTATGAGTCTGTATCTCCAAATTTTGACTGAATGACCACACTTTTAATATTGAAGTTTGGTACCACAAAAAGAATCCTTCTGAATGACAGAATGTATCAGGTGTAATCAAAACCAGGTGGAAGATGAAACCCACCTTAGAAAATATCTATTCAGCATTTCACATCCACAATTTCAATAGTAAATCACCAGATTGAGACACAGTTCACTGAATTAATTTCTAGTAAGAACATACTTGTTAACATCATTGTAGCAAAATTTACCAAAACTGGATTAGAAATCAAACAAGTTCAATCCTAGGTGGCTTTGTTCCTAGTTTTGTCTGTGTGAGTGATTGTTTTGGTATTGTGGTTTTTATTTTTTTATTCATTTTGCGTTTTCTATAGTTGTAAGCTTTTCCATCCCCCTAGCAGTTGTGAGAGTGGTATTAAATAAATCACATTTACAAAATGTCAATCAGATGATCACAGTTCATAAAAGTTATGATTTAGGTAATACAAAGCACTAAACAAGTTATATCCAATTCTTACCACACGTCTGGTTCCATCTTCTTCGATGCATCGTTCTGTTGGGGGAAATAAAACATTGTTAGTGAGTCAATACATTTTTGGGAATGTCGAAATCCAAAAAGTTTAGAACAGAAACAGCTAAGTTCTTTGTGTGGAATCCGGTCAAACCCTGATGGCAGCTAGGCAGTTTTTATTATTAGAGGACGCTTACACGCGTAATCATTCCATATTTGGAATTCGCATTTCCTTATATGGTAGGATGAAAATACCCTGTAAAATACCACAAAATTAGGGCACACTGTAACTTATGGCGTTATGGTGACAGATGTATAATAATAATGTATATTCTTAGAATGTTTCCATCTGTACAGCCATTCCAACCAAATCCCTCAAAGGGTAAGGGTTATAGGTACTGACTGCCAATATGAAATTCAAGGTGTAAACCTACATATGTAGCTTGGCATTTCAAATAGGTGAGAAAGAACTCACTCATTCACCTCTGAAATTCTAAAACTTGACATCTAGTCAATTTCTAAGTTCAGAAATGTATGACACTAACAAGTGAGCAAATTACCAATCTACATGTTTTGGATATTCCTAATATACATATAAAACAAACTGTGAAAACAACTGGAGGGATTACTAAATTAATTAGCATATGCAGGGTCAATAGCACCAAGAGCCAAATGATTTCCAAGACTTTTCCAGATCTTTTCCGAACCTTTGTTGAATTTTTCCAAGACAGTTTGACCCTTAATTCAGGCCAACAAATTACCAAAGCTCATCAGTTCTGAGAATTTGGTAGTTCCCTGGAGAAAACAGGCCTTTCTAAAATGAATTAATAGCTATGAAAAATTTTCAAAGATTTTCTATTTTCCATTTAAAGACAACTCAAAGACTTTCCAGACCTCAAAAAATCTAAAAGACTTTCAAAGGATGTTCCCAACGCTATGGACCATGATATGACAAAACCTGTAGCGGATTTCAGATCCACATATAGACAAAAAACCAAATGTAGAGTTTAATACAGAAATAAACACACTGCCAATATTATCTGCCACATGGCCAAGAGTGGTACGAGAGCATGAAAACATCTTTGTGTTGGGCAATCAAAATATAGTACAACATTCAATTTATTTGTTTATATATTGTGCACCATTTACCAGCA